GGAGCGCTCGGCGCGGCGCAGGCCCGGCCTCTGCGGGGCCCCCAGGCCGCCTTCCTGAGCGTGGAGCGGGCTGGCCGGGGCCTGGCACAGAGCAGGGGCGCAGAGGGAGCCCCAGCAGACGCCCACCTTCGGGGGCTTGCCTTCTGTAAAGGCCCCGCGAAACCCACGGCCCGGGGTGGGCCGCGCGCCCAACCTCGAGCCCCCCCCCAAGGCCACCCCCTCCTCTTCTGCTCCCGGAGGCCTGGGGTCGCACAATTCGAGGATCCCTCCCTTCAGTTTAAATTTTTGCTTTCTTAATAGCCTCTGGAGTCCATATCAAGCTTTTAACGCTTTTTTGAAAGCAAGTTTTACGGGTAGGGTGGTTAGAAAGGTCCTGGGTGAAGGAAGGAGGGGGCTTTGGGCACAGAGCGATGCGGAGGGAAGTAGAGAACGTCCCACATTTCATAATGGGTGGGTTTGGCCCTGGTGCAGGCTGTGAAGTGTTTGAGGAAGTAACCCCAGGAGCGGGGGTGCAGTGGGGGGAGGGAGTGCGGTCGGGGGAGGGGAGCGCTGCTCGGGGCCTGAGCCTGCGCTGTTTCCAGTTTGATGCCAGAAGGAGGATCTGAGGCTGCTCTGTTCTCCCACGACGAGCTGTAAACCCAGCTCAGCGCGGAAGGAAGAGGGCAAAGACGGGAATGAGTGGGGGGAAAGCAAGAATTAAAGAACAAGGTCATCAGCTGGCAGCCTGCTGGGCTACCTGGCAGCAGAGTATTTGGCAACGTAGAGCTTTACTTTTGGATTTCTTGCATTGTATTTCCTTTTTGTAGAATTCTTTTCAAATTGGCCACCACTGTAAAAAAAATACGTGATGAACTATCTAGCAGTTATTTGAATGATGCTTTGAGTGAGTTTCGGAAGACTTAGAGCCGTGTGCTTATGTTAAGTGAAAGAAGCGGGACATAAATCAGAATCTTTGCAAAAATGATGCATTGAAATTGACTGGAGGAAATATGCCAAAATACACTCACATGAAACAGGCAGTGGGATTAGGAATGGTAACGGTTTTCTTTTTTTATACTTTTTTCCCCCCAGTGGGCATATTTTACTTTTATAATCAGGAAAAAATATCATGATGAAGAAAAGGACAAACGCGCACTAGTCTCAGCCCAGCCAGGGAGGGCTGGTGATCTCCCTCCGATGTAGAATTCTCAGGGACAGTGACTGAAAAGCCTGTGGTCTTTGGGGGGGCGGGGGATGGAAACGCTTCTGGTGGGCTGTTTCTCCTCAGCTGGAGAATCTTCTTCCAAAGCTCTTCTCTGCTAAAACTTAGAGGGCTTAAGTTTTCCTTACAGAAGTCCTTGGCAGAGTGCTAAAAGGAGCATGCCCAGTTTGATACTTGGATGGGCATCCTGCTGTCACCTCAGGCACACAATATCCCCAAAGCAAGGAACTGTCTCCCCGACTCCAAAGCAGCTCGCCATAGAAAAGCCAGTTCTCAGTGGTTGTCATTTCCATTTTCCTGTTCTTCCTGGAAGACTTTTGAAGTCATGGATGGATGACTGATTTCCACGAAGATTCTTGATCTGAAGAGAACAGGAAGCCAATCTTGTTGGTATTTCTTGTGAAAGATGTCTATCGTCCATTGCCCTTTGTCTGGTTCTATCTGTGCCCCACATAGCATCATGCCATACCTCGATTATGGCATATAACCTTCTGCAGTTTCCCCCCTTTGGAGGCAGAATTATTGTGAAGCTACCGAAAGCCTAAACCTCAGGGGCCCTCCCTTGCACAAGCTGTGGAAGGGGCTGCTGGCACTGTGTTCTCATGGTCATATGCTTTTGTGAAATCTGCAGAGTAAGAGATTTTACCCACAATGGTTAGGACTTCTGTCTCTTTCCTCTTTGACTTCTCCTTTAACATACTTCTTATGGGGGGTGGTGTTGGGGTGGCTGTGGCATTTTTGAGACCTATCTTGACATATATCAACAACAAATTGTGAAGTTAGAAACTTTTCTAAACTACCAATAATAAACATTTTGATAAATCATTCTAGAGGAAAGAATGAATTCACTTTCTATTCTTTCTACAGAGCATATTACAAAAGGTTGTCATAGGTAGAGGCAAAGATTACACAGTCAAAATGTAAGTAAAAAGCTATTGGAGAGGTACGTCAGGCAGTTAGCTAATACAAATATTATTTTATTTTTCTGAATTTCACAATGTTAGTGGTATTTGGCAGCTTTCAAAAATTTGTAACTTGTAATTTGTTTTCTCGTTTTAATTAAATACTTTTGTACCTAATTTTATACTCTTAGTTATGTATTCTTTTACAAAGAGGGCTCCCACATATTTATAAACTTCAGCCTTACAAAACCTGAATCGCCCCATTCTAACCAGTTGATCTTCTCTAAATATTTTCCTCCTGCTAATAATCTAGAGGTGCTCCCCTCATCTCCTTCGGGAGGGCGGATGAGGGGTGGCAGAGAGAAGCCAACATTGGTTACCGCCCAGTGGTGCTTCTATGTGTAATATCACTCAGTCCTCACAGTTAGGGGGATTATAACTGCCATTTCACAGATGAGCACACTGAGGCTCAGAGAATTCAGTAAGTTGCCCTGTGGTGGAGTTGTACTGTGTCAATTTTGCGAAGCCATAACTGCATTTCCTAGAATTCAGCTCCTTGCATAGTTCCGAGTTAGCATGGGCCAGGAGAGAGGTTTTTGTATAAGACTTGAAAGGCAGAAGTGAAGGTGCAGCGGTATTCCTTTCCTCTCTGGAGGATGGGGGAGGGCATGAGGCATTCTTGTGGTTCACAACATTGTGGTTTATCAGCTGGCGTCCTAGATGGCTGGGACTGAAGCCAGGCCTGGGGCTCCTCCAGCTCCTGCCGGATCCTCTGCTTCCCTTGTCACCTGGGCCGGGTGTGTGTTTAACTCCATGACAAAGGGCACCAGCTTTTCCTGCAGGACGCCCTGTTGGAGGCTTGGAGATGGTGAGAGGCTGATGTGGTTCCTGCTTGTCCCTGCATCGTCAGCCTCTCATACACCTTCTCTTCCTGCCCTCCTGCCCTGAGAACTTCAGGCTCCAGCCCCAGACACAGGAAAAACAGCATCACGTAGACTGTGTAGCCAACACCCATGATTGCTTAATGTCAGATCCCCATCACACACACACACACACACACATCACACACACACGCACACACACACACACACACATACATATCACATGGTCGTTCTGCTTCTCTGATCGAAACCCGACCGATCATACCCTCAAATCACACAGCCAACAAGTGGGGGCGGGGGCTCCTAGCCAGTCAGTCTGGCTCCAAAGCCCCTTGCATCTCAGACCAAGCTTCTCGTCCTGCCATTTCAGTTTCCTCCTAATCAGGCCTGGCTCTACCTACCCAATCACACTTTCCACAGCTCCTCAACAAGACCTGCTATTCCACCAGCGAGTCTTTGAAGATATCCTTCGACAAGGTCACTTGTGTGTTGCTTCTCTTCTGACGCTGTCCACCCCGCCGGTGTGCCCCTCTTCTTTCCTTCACCTCTCACCCTTTCCCCCCCTCTCCACACCCACAATCTAAATTGTAAAACTCCCTCTCTTGCCTGAGCTTCCACTTCTGAGAACATCGTCGCCTCCCGTGATTACCGTCTTCTACTGTTCCACACCATCTTAGTCAGTGTTGATCTCCGCTGAGACCCACGCCTCCAAAGTGGGTGGGTGAGTGTCCCCCCGTAGATGCAAACACAGAAGCAAGAGCTCTGAGCCCGGGGTAGGCCCTGAGCATTGCCAAGTGGGGCCTTGATTTGGTGTCCTCTGTTCCGAAGAATTCCAGCAGCACGGTCAGAGGGATTGGCATGTGAGTAAAAGGACAAATTCACCTCACATCTCCAGTGACTGGGTCCTGTCTTCTCCTTATGTCCATCTTGGGCCACAGTGCCCTCCTTTCATCTCCCTGCAAATGTTGCATTTCTGCTTCCCCAGTGGGGCCACCATCAAAATGCATTCCAAAAATACATACTCTTTTCTCCTCTACTTCCTCCCATGAGGGACTCCCTGTAAGAGGAACTATTACCTAATACAACGTTCTGCATTTCATTCCTCTGTGGAACAGGGAAGGGAAAATATGCTGAAATTTGGCAGGGAGAAGAAAGAATAGGCAGAGGGCAGGAAATTTTACTGGTCCCTTTAACCCCTTTAAAAAGAGAAGCTATGGCTACATTTTAGGTGAATGCCAAAGCTTTAATATTCCTGACCCTGTGAGTCCCCTGGGAAAGCCCCAGCAACTCCAGAGACAGGGCCCAGGGCTTCAGGAAGCTGCCAGTTGAACCTGGAAGGGGTGGGTTGGAGATTTCTCCATGGGTTCTTGGGCAGGACTTGTGTAATGAAGCCTCTCTGGTTTTGTAATTCAGAGGAACTCAAACTGATCTCCATTTTCTAGAAAGATTCAGATCATATCATTATCCTTCTGTGTTTAAATTTGTCATCTGGGGCCTGTAGACTTCCAGGAGAAACCTGGCAGGTTGGACACGAATAGCGGAAGTTGATTAACAGACAAGCTCAGGCTAGACGGCGGCTGTAAATCAGCTAAGTGCGGCCAGGAGGTGTCAGACAGGGCATTTGATGAGTCATTAAAAGCCCCAACAGCAAACTGGGAGTTATGCCCACACCCTCCAATAAGAATAGGTACCATTTATTGAGACCCTACCCTATATCATCCCTCCATCCTCATACAAACCTATGAGGGGGGGCGGTGGTTATTTGTCATGTTTTCTGACTACTCAGCGCTTTTTGAATACCCTTGGTATATATGGGGAATTTTCAGTCTTATGAGTACTCCCCTTTCCAGAAGACTCCAATTCCCAGCCTCCTTTGCGGCCATGTTACTTAGCCTGTGCCAAGCCTCCTTCCACTATACATCTTCCCTTGGCCAAAAGTCATGGCCCATGAAAAATTTCACCTCCAAGAACCACTAGGAGATCCCCTCAGACACCAATTCTTCAAGAACTTTTCATGAGTGAAAGCAGTCCCACAGAGTCAAAAGAATTTTAAGTTACGTATCCTAAAAGTTACAAACACTTATTATTCTAACTCTCTTTGCAAACATATATATGATTATCCTTTCAGATATATTCTTTACCTGGTTTATTGTGATTCCCTTTGTTTTCAAAACGTAGATTTGAATCTTTTTTTCCAAACATGGTTTCTAATTTGATTACTATTACCCTTCCTGTTTGGAATATGTGTACCAGAATCTCTTGTCAAATGTATACTGTGGGTTCATTTACCTGGGAGAACAAGGGCCTTCCTTACGTGTGTGTGTATGCATGCACATGTGTGTATGTGTTTTGGAGGGGTGTTATGGCCTGAATGTGATCCCCCAAAATTCATACGTTGAAGCCCTTGCCCCCATTGCAATGGTATTTGGAGGTGGGGCCTTTGGGAGGTAATTAGGGTTAGATGAGGTCATGAGGGTGGGCCCCTTGTGGAAGATTAGTGGCTTTCTGGCAAGCCAGGAAGAGAGCCCTCACGGGAACCAACCATGCTGGCCACCTGATCTCAGACTTCCAGCCCCAGAACTGTGAGAAAATAAATTTCTATGGTTTAAGCCATCCAGTCTACGGTATTTTATCATGGCAGCCAAGCTGACTAAGGCAAGGGGTCTTGATCTCCGGCTACGCCAATGTGTAAAAAAGACTATGAAACAGAAGTGTTGGAAAGCAAAGTGACAAAATCACCCAGCTCCCACCAGATGGAAGTTCTTCATTTCATAAAGATCAGCTAGGGAATAGCAACAGCCACATTTCAGAAAGTCTGTGCTTGTACTGGCACGACATAACCACCCTACATGAACTACGTCACAGGTAGTGCATTTCCTGTTCTGTAACCACGCAGAAGTCGCCAGTCGGCACTTGTGGTGGCAGAACCACACTGCCACACTGAGAGGGCACAATTCCAGTCACAAGTAAAGACACTTGATGTCTTAACTCACTCGGGAAGCCTTACTGGGGGCAAATGAGTGATTTCTCCAGGGCTCTCTGAACTGTTGAGACTGCTCTGAGAGCCTTCATTACTTCTATCAGAGACTCCCAGGGACGTGGGGACCCAGGCTGGGAGCCCTCAGCTCAGAGATGGGTGACCCAATGGCCCCTCTTGTCAATGTGCCCTGTGGAGGCCTGCCTGGGCCCCCATGTTCTTGGAGGCTGTGTGAGATTCCTCTGGCTGCCGTAACAAATGACCACAAACTTAGTGGCTTAAAATAAAAATTTATTATCTTATAGTTCTAAAGGTCAAAAGTCCAAAATGGGTTGGCAGGACTGCGTTCCTTCTGGAGGCTCTGGGGAGAATCCGTTTCCTTGCCTTTCCCAGCTTCTAGAGGCTGCCTGCATTCCTTAGCTCATGGGCCCTTCCTCCATCTTCACGTCAGCAGTGGAGTGCCTTCAGCTCGCAGTCTCTTTCCCTGATCTCTGCTTCTGTCATCACATCTCCCTTTCTTTTCCTTTTTT